CTTTCCTTCTTTCTTTCCCTCCCTTCTTTCTCTTTTTCTCTCTCTCTCTCTCTCTCTCTCTCTCTCTCTCTCTCTCTCTCTCTCTCTCTCTCCACGTTTCTTTTATATAACATTAGATTAAATTATATATATAAGGTTATACTTATTTTAATAATAAAAATATGACAATATTGTCATGTAAAAACAGTTAAGCAAATTTAGAATTTTAAAGAGAGACATAAAAAGAAAAGTTTGAATTGCTAACTTTATTTGTTAATAACTTTTTGTTTTTACTGAGATTACGAAAATACCACTTAAATTCTTAAGATGGTGATGTAAAAATCAAAAGGTATGTCTAATTTTTAGAAAGCAAAACTTATTAAATTCGGCTTCTGTTTAATTGCCAGGGCTAATATTTTATATTTAGCTTTCCCACAATTAAAGAATTTTTTTTTACAAGAAATTCACCTTAGTAGCTTATAGGAATTCTTTGGAACTACATTCATTACCAATTATACGGTGTTTAATTATATTGTGTCCAAACATACGGTGTCCAACCGTGCAATGTGTTAATCATGTAGTGTCCAATCATGCAATATGCAAATCGTGCGATGTCCAATCTTACGGTGTCAAATCGTGCGATATCCAATAATGTGGTGTTGAATTATACAGTGCGTCACTCGTGTAATGCACAATCGTGCAGTGTCCAATCATGTAGTATCCAATCCTGCGGTCTATATATCATACGGTATCCAAATGTACGGTGTTCAATTGCACGATGTCCGATCCAGACGTGTCCAATTGAGCAGTATCCAATTATACTATGATCAAGTGTCACTCTTAAAGCTATATTTATCTCTGTTTAAGGCTCTTTGTATTTCGCCGCAGCCACGTTGAATTTGTGACATCAGAAACAAGGAATGGCACGCTGATGAAAGTTGCCTGCTATTTCTAAATAAAGATAAATGCAAATAACAAAGTATTTGAGATCGCTTAAGCACACTTGTAAAATTATCCGAAAACTATCCCTTTGCCCTGATGATCAGCAAATAATAAGTAGTGAAATAAAGCATGCAGACAAAAATTTCATCATTTCACGTGTCTCATTTCACTACTTATTATACGACTATTTATTGATCATCAAGGGAAAGGGATATCTTTCGGACAATTTTACAACTACACTCAAGCAATCTTAAATGCTTTTCCGTCCATATCTATCTTTATTGAGAAATGACACGCAACTTTCGTCAACATGTCATTTCTCGCTTGTGACGTCGCAAATCGATATGGCCAGCGAGATATAAGGAGCCCTAATAAATTCTGATTGGTGAATGGTTTCTATGTTTTTTATTGCAAACATCAGCTTTACTAACACGAATAAACTCCATTGTACGTGCAGAGCTTACTATCACGCATCTTTATGCTGAAATGCCTCACTGATTATAACTAATATTTTTAGCTTGAAAAATAGGATAATAGAAAAAGATGAACCGGTTATATTTTTTATTTGTTAGCCCTTCTCGTTCACTCAGCAAGCATTTGGAATGGAAAAAACAGCTGAGATTTGGATTCTGTTTATAAATCATAAACATATGTCTTTAACAAAGTAATCAGTAATTAAATTTAATAAATATTTAGTTTTTCTCGTCTATAATGTCTGTTAATAAATATGCTTCTTGCTAAGGGTCTACTGCTAAATGATGTTATATTGCTGGCTGATGTTATATTGAATAGCTGAGGCTAAAATCATGACATATTTAACATGCTTTTGGAAAAGCCTTTGTTTACATTTTGCAACTCTATAATTTAAGATCTGTTTGTAAATTTAGTGTGAATAAAATATATTGTATGTTGCGTGCATGCGTGCACACAAAAATATTGATAATATATCTGGAATATCTTATTTTTTGGAAATAGTAAAATGTATTTAACAAAGGAAATTAATGTCTTTGAGGAAATATAGTGGAGCCTTAGCAAAAGCAGATATTCATCAACTGAATTTAATTATGGAAATTTTGGGAACTCCACGAGACGAGTTTATGAAAAAAATATCATCAGAATCGGTAAGTTATTTCAGCTTTTTTCGGTAGTTGATATTCTATCGTTTTAATTAATGATTAAAACGATATTAGTATGATTGATTAAATAATTCTTAATATTTTTTTATTTTATCATAAAAGCATAAAATCTATGTTTTATATATTTTATACAATGTATGAGAAAGTTGCATTTTTATATTTTTTCTTTATTAACTCATGAATATATTAAAATTAATAAATATATTAAATAACATTAATATATCTTTTAAACACAATTCATGGTATGTGTATAGACTTAGATGTATATAAATATCTTTGATGTTATGCTTAACATGTGTAATTTTATTTAAAGAATTTATATTTTATTTTAATATCTAAATTTTGTGAAAAACGAGATAATTAATTCTTATTGTACAGAGCGGTTATAAAATTACTTCCTTACTTCAAAATTCCATAACTACCCAGTAGTAAGCAAATTGAGCGCATACTGACGTCAGATTGACATCAGATTCGAGCAGACCCTGTCGTCAGATCCATAGTCATCTATCAAGCCAATAGGCTGTTAGACTGTCGCCAGAACCTGCTGACAGGCTCTGACACCAAACTTACAACAGTATGCACGCAGAGTTTGTAGACATGTATGTGACAGCAGAATGGCGGCAAATTGCGCGTAGATTCTGTCGTTTCGTAAGTTCTTCAATTAAATCTTTGGTAGACAATTTTCTCATAATTTTTCATAATTACTCATAGAATGAGCGCTTTCTCATAAATACTTATAAATACTCGTGAAATAAATACTCGTAAAATACAATGAAAAAAAAAAGTTTTTCTATATTATTTTTTCATAATTTTAAAGATTTTCTCTAGTGAAATTTGAACTTGAACCGAAGACATCTTTTGGATAATCGTCCATCGCCTTAGATACTATGCTAATTCCTCACTTGATAAAAAGTGCTTTGTATTACTCACATAAAGTTTAAGGAAGAAAAATTTTAGAGTTTGTTCGCCTTTTAAAAATACCGCAAAATATAGACAAAACCTTTTAATAACCGCAAAATATAGA